CGACTGATTTTATTTATCGATAAAAAGAGAAATTTAGGTATTAAACAAAATACTACATGTAGTATCTCAATCTTAATTATTGTGTCCCAAACTACACCATGAGAATAATAAAAAGTGCAAAAGTAATCACCCCCAGGAAAGCCATGCAGGCACGGCTGACCATGCGCGGCGGCCTTACAATGCGGTTTCATATGTGTTGATTTTTACAGAATCTGATTTTCCAAGGTAAAGAGCTCTGTATACAGAATCATTTCAAATGCTTTATATGGTTCTTAGGGCCGAAAATCGTGAGCGTTTTATCCCGAAAAGCATTGTAAACTGGAGCACTTTAACCACATAAACATATAAACACTTAATGGGCGTGCAGTTGGGGAAATGAAAAAAAGAATGTTGTATCGGTAAGAGCGTTATATCGGGGAGCGCTATAACGGGAATGAAGGTACATAATCATGGAGCCATAAGTCTGGAAGCTTGTGGCAGATGAGCACACTTGCGATTGTACGTTCGCTGCTGGTGTTAAAATCTGTATGCAGTAGGGGGTTTGAGGAATGGGATACCGGGTAATGTCACTTTTCTGGCATCCAAACTCCAATAACTCTTCACTACAAACCGCAAGTCCATCCATGCTTCAAGTCAAACAAACATGTTCACAATTTGATCAGGTACTTCTACAAACTCCATTCTGTGGCGACCGTGGAACTTTTTAGTTCATGGTTGAATCTGCCAACTCCACTGAAATTTGGTCAGATCACAGACCTTCAACTCGGATTCTTGATCGTACATGGTACGATCGTACCATGGTTACCATGGTAAAAAAGGATCGGTCGATCACATGGATGTTAGCGATTGAGGTCTAAAGTTTGAAGGTAAGAGATTTGCTGCAGTGGCAGTGCTGATGTGCTGAATTGCACAGAACAAAACATTTTACTTTTAATTACTGTGAGCAGGAATACCTCACTCATGATAAATAAAACAGAAATGCACGAAGGGTGGTCATTACTTTGGGTACTGTATACTCTGAGGAAATGTCGACATTCTTTATTGAAGTACATCGGTGCATGCTGGTTGCATGGGCCGATGTAGCCTTCAGTCACACTAAAAGGGCTTACTTTGCCATGTAAGAAAGTTTCATGGTTAACTAAGTGTAAATTATACTTTCACGGTGTTGAGATTCATAGTGTGAGGGACATCACCAATTGTCAATATTGACGTCAATAAAATTTACAACCTGTTCTTCGGTCGTGATTATTGATGCTAATTGATGCTTTTTTACCAAATTCACGACTCGCTCATCAGTCGCGAGTGTTGCCATCAATCTTCGCTACCAAAATTTGGTGGCAAATATTGATAAAAACACGCTGGCGGGAAAAATGAAACATCAGAATATGTATGTGCAACATGCAAGCACATTGCAATGCTTGATGAACAGTGCTGGTGATTGCCCCTGTGGCCCATCGATGCTACCAGCAGAGAGGTTGTCTGTCAAATATACGCTCAAGCGGGTGCTAATTCAAGATGGTGCCATCCATGCATACCATGGTTAACGGTACATTGTTGAGCCTTGTTGTACCGGTGCATTGTTATAGCATAGAGCTTTTAAAACACAGAGAACTGAACAACACATTTGGGCGCAAAGCTAATTGAGTCAAGTCTTCAGGTCAAATCGTTTTTAATAGTCTGTGCACGTCTGTAGATGTGTTACAGCTGTAAGCACTTGCCTAACCACTTGATGCCGGATTTTTCTTGTTTGTTCCACAGAAGATGTGTACACTCATTTAAGAATTCTCTTTTCACTTCCGTGATTAACATATTAACATGTCGTGCTTAGTTGGGTCAAAGCGCGGAAGATGATCCTATACATGAGCACTGTAACTAAGTGGCCCCACCCTCAACCAGCATTAAAACAGAAATGCCTTTCTTGATTACAGTAAACTCCAGCTAAGTTGGCACTCTCGGTACTCAAGAAATTATGACGACTTACTCGAATGCCGACTTTTGCTGTAAGTCGTCAATTACCTTGTATTATCAGTAATGGAAAACAAAGAAACACAAAGACTTGGGACATAGAATTGTCCTTGTTATAAGGACACACCTAAGAAGGGACCAGACAAATGGTGTCCCATCATCAACCTGAAGCCATTGAACAAATTCATCCACCCAAGAAGTTTCGAAGTGGTAACCACCTTGACAGTGATACAATCTCTACCGGTTCCGTCGTAGGCCTCATCAATTCATCTTCGCAATGCTTATCTTCATGCACCCATTCATGTACGGGACTGTAAGTTCCTCCAATTCACGTACGAAGGGAGAGCTTATGAGCTCTGGGCCCTGCCATTTGGCTGATCAAATACGCCCAGAGTCTTCACACATACATGTATTGCCAAGACCATCGCGGCTTTAGTACGCCAGCTAGACGTTATGATTTTCCAGTACCTTGACGTCTGTTGATCATGGGCCATTCCCAAAACGAGACCGTAGCTGCAACTTGCCTCACTTGCAACCTCACTTCCCGCCTTGGCTTTCTCATCAACTTAAAAAGCCGAACCTGATACCATCCCAGCTTCCAACATATCTGAGGGCAAGAGTCAATCTCCGCCGGAGTATAATCACTCCAATGACCGACCGAGTCAACAATCTTCAAAACTGCGCCTCTCTTTTCTGCTCATCACTGTCTCCCCCGCCTTTGCTTGGCTTCATCTCCTTGGCTTAATGGTCAGTATGGAAGATTTTATACCTTGGTGCAGACACTCCACATGAGAGCACTTTAGATCCATCAATTCTCTTGCTATTGGCCCAAGACACGAGTTACCTGTCCATGTTTCAGAGGATGCCTGTCAACATCTACTGTGGTGACTAAAAAAGGACCACTTGCTGGGCTCTCATTCCGGTGAGCCAAACCTGGCATAGTCATTTGGACCGATGCATCATCTTCTGGATGGGGGCCTTCCTTCCTCCACCTCAAGTATCAGGGAACTGGGGCACCGAATTCTAAAGAAATCACATCAGTGTCTTGGAATGACAGGCTATCTTCAACACCCTACGTCATTTCCTTGTGCGCAACAAGGGAAAAAAATCCTCATCTGCTTGGACAACTCTGCTTGGACAACTCTGCTTGGACAACCTTTCCTCCCATCTCTCTGGTTCCACAGGTCATATTCATGATAGAGCATGAACGCTGTCGGATTCTGCCCATCGCCCCTTTCTGGCTGCATCAGCATTGGTTCCCCAGGATGACCAGACTCCCGTTCGTCTTTCTGTCGAAACCAGACATTTTCCCGCAGCCGAAGTCAGGAATTCTCCATCGGGCACTGGAAGATCACCACCTAACCTACTGGACATTGTCCAGTGATCTTTCTGCTCGGTGGGACTTTCTGGTGACACTGTGGCCATGGCCGCACGGGGATGACGCTCTTCTACCCACAAAGTGTACAAAGCTGAATCCAGCATTTCGCTATGTGGTGCGACGAATACGTTGTGGCTCCTTTAAGTGCTATTGCAGACTTTTTCATGTACCTTTTCAATTCTGGCCTACAAGTCTCCATGATCCACACCTGTAGATCAGCTTTAGCCGTCATACATTCTGGCTTTATGGACGGCTCCACTATTTCTGATAACACTGCCTTTCATCACCTCCTGCGTGGTGTGTTTAATGAGCACCCACATGTAAAGTGCTTAGTCATGTCATGGGACTTGAGCAAAGTTCTAAGGATGCTCACTGGTGCCCCTTTGAACCTGTAGGTAACCCTTCCCTGCTACATTTAAACTAGCCTGCCTTCTGGCCATGGCCACTTCCAAGAGGGGTTCTGAACTTCAAGTCCTCTCCATTACAGAGGGACATCTACGTTGGGAGCCACACAGCATCCCCCTCATTCCATCCATCGACTTCCTAACCAAAAACCAGTCTCCTTCTTTTGATCTGACCATTTTGTACTGACCATTGCTTCACATACGGGAAACAATGCAGACAAGATCTGGTGCCCAGTTCATATGCTGACGTGGTATCTAGCCAAAACCAAGAACCCGAGAGGTACAATTTCCCAACTTTTTATTACTTCTACCAAACCACACTGGCCAGTGGCAAGAGACATGATGGCCCCTTGGATAGTTTCAGCTATTAAATTTGCCAATCCAGATTGGCCATCACATCCTGATAACCAGAGCCATTAATATATTACAGCCCATGATGTAACAGCTGTATCTGCTTCGAATCTTGGTGTTTCTCTGTGATTTCCATTGCAGACATCATAAAGCTGCATGCTAGAAGTTTCCCTATACATTTACCCTCTTCTACCCAGGAATTGTCTTGCAGAGTAACTCCACACATGGCAATACGATCCTACTGTCAGCAGTGCAGAGGTTAAAGGAGCCAGCTACATGTGCAGACCAAACAGAGGGACATGGTCAGCCTGAAGATCCCTTTGTGTTGATTTTGGTTTTTATGACCTCCTAATGCATAAATTTGATGCTATTCTCGTGCATATTTTTGTGCTCATGACTACCACTTTTATGTCGTAGCTGACCCTCCTCCTAGATTGGAGCCACTCTCCATATGTAGTGACTGCTTGGGTGGTAGAGTGCTGTAGGCTCCTCCCCACATTAAGTGTGTGGGTCGGGTCTACAAGAGGATACCAAAAAAGTCCTCTCCTGTTCGTCCTCCCTACTTTGGCTATGACCCTTTGTGTTGCTTTCGAAAAGAAGGACAATCATGGCGGCAAAGCTGCATTGCATTGTGGGAGGTCAGGCTGCACTACAGGAGATCAGATCTTTTCAGCGAATAATGACAGCTACTGTATGTGGGAAATTTATATGTGCAATGACTGTTTGAGTTGGTATTCTCTAGTAGACCCAACCCACACACTTAATGTGGGGGGGGGGGATTTTCGGATCAACCACTATTTGGCACCTTGTCTGAATGTACCCCATTATTCTGTCTACTTTGTCATTATAATTTGGCTTGTTTAGAATTTTGAATGCATTGTACTTGATGTTGTTTTCAACAGGTTATAAACATTATCAATGCTGCTCAGGAGAATAGCCCTGGAACAGTGGTTCAGGCTTTGGATCGTGTCTTGGAAATTTTAAGATCATCAGAATTGTATAATCCTCAGCTGTCAGCACAGCATGTGAAAGAAGAAGACCAGATGACCACGGACCTTGTGGGTGGGCTGATGACAGTAAGTTATTTGTGTAGGATGTAGGTTCTAAGACTATCTCAAGGATGAGTATTCTGTCCTGACTGTTAGTGCCAGTGAGATAGGAACCTGTTTGAGACATTGTTCAACCCCCAAAAGAGAAGATATTCTCAGGGTAGTTATGTTGCTTTGTTTAGAATAAACTGTTATTAACCCTGTTTACTTGAAAACACAGTCAGTCTTTTTTCAAGCCAAACATGAAACTTGCAGTGAAGAGTGCTGGAAATTATATCAATTCAGTATTTAAGGTAGTTGTTTTATTTATACGTCTGTCAAGACATGTTTATGAAGAGAAGAAATTGCCCCTGAGTTTTAATAAACTCTGTATAATTTTGAAAATTGTTTGATTTCCAGCATGGGGGGTATAGTGCCAGGAGAAGGATGTCTGGATCTGAAATTGCTTTGTCAAAAACTACCAGTAAGTAACCTGTTTCATCTATTCTTAAGTACACGTCAGACTTTTAGCCGACATGTAAACAAGAACAGTGAATCTGACATTCTGTTCAATACATACAGCGCGTTCCCACTTGAATTTGGAAAAGGTGGATCTTGATCCAGCATTTTGGTGTGATTGTTATCTTACCACAACGAAACTGCAAGTCACGTCCCCATTAGCGCATGATCCACCTTTTCGGATGGAAATGTCAAGCCCGAAAGGTCACTGAGTTCGATATTGCGCATGTGCTAGCTTGCTGATCACGCGCTCTGTGGCAGTGTGGCATGCTGGGGCGGCATGCCTGTGACCCTGCGGTGTTTTGGGTGCGGAGTTCTACTAACGTGACGACCTTGAATCGGACCGAATGTTCAGCCTAGTACATTGCCTCTTCAAACTTTGCTTCCATTTTTGATACTCTGTCACACGCTGTGGGCCATACGCTAACACGGAATGAGTTTTTGATGGAAAGCAAGTGAAATTACACAAATAAAAAAGGTTAAGAACGGATGAATGCGCAACAAAAATTGTGAAAGGGCAAGGCACACATCGCGGCATGCATGCATTGCGCATGCATGGTGACACATTTTGCTAGCCCGTAGTTGAGCAGTTGTTTATTGTGCATGCTGTGCACATTAAAAATTCTCATGAGCTACATGCCAAAAAACATATTTCTTTGTTCATCAGACTGGAAAAAGTTTCGCGCCACTCGTGCACGGACGGATGTTGACAGGTCAAATTGCCGGATCAGATCCACCTTTTGCGTTCCCATCTGATCGTGATCCACCAATTGGGGGATCTGTATCAGAGGAGGATCAAGAAAGGTGGATCTGATCCACCTTATAACGGTTAGCGTTCCCACTACACACAGTTGCCGGATCTGATCCACCAATTGGGGGATCTGATCCGGCAATTTGGCAAAAGGTGGATCAGATCCCCCAATTGGTGGATCAAGTGGGAACGGGCTGATAATTTGCATGTATTGCTGGTCCAATGCATGATAAGCCAGGCTCCAGACCTTATTATCTCAGTGGGCTTGTGACCACAGAGGTTACCAACAACTTGTAGTGAGCAGCTGCACATGCAGTGCCATGGCTTCGGTTTCATGCATGGTGTAATGAAAACATGCAGTGTACAGTCACCAGGGCAGTGCACTGAACAAGTGAAATCATGTACAAGTACCAGCCAACAAGATGACTGTGACGAAATATCACAATATCATGATACAGCCGTTTTCCTAGTTTTGGATTGTGAAAATTATTCAGTCGGATTGCATCTAAACGTTTTCAAATTTGAGTGAAATTTGGTTAGTAGTCCACCGTGTGTGGTTGGATACTACAAAATTATTAGTCTACTTTTTCAACTGAACAGCGACTTGCAACTACAACACTAGTACATGTACATGTACGTAGCTTGTAGCAGTATCTGGGCCCAACCAGATGTCACACTTCCATTCTTTTTGGTACAGTGGAACGCCGCTATAATGAACACCCCGGGGTCCGTGCTAAATGTTCAGTACAGTGGTCGTTCGGTATAGCCAAATTTACTGCTGAATGTTTCGTTGTCATGTTGAATAATGCCCTCTCTTTTCTAACTGAAGTGCACCCTCTTGTGATACTATGGTTCACTGTTTTCGTGATGTTTTGCCGCTGCATTCACGTTTAAGGTTTCCAAAAATGTATCTGATAATTATTTTTGTTTTCTATTAAATCTTAAGTTACAAAATTGATTTAAAGTTTATCTTAAGTCGTGAAACTACCGCTCAGGATCGATCTCTGATGCATGCTGTGAGGAATCTCGGTGGCTTGTGTATCAGCGGCGTCCTCTTTAGACTAATGTTAGTGCAATGCCACGGTGAGTGTGTGGTTTTCTTCTGCACCCTATCACGCGGGGTCGCAAAACCAGTGTCCATTCAATACCATTGGCAGATTAACCGTGTGTGCCCTGGCCGTCACTTGTAGAAGACAACTTTGAACAAGTGCGGACTAATGTACCCAGTTTCTCAGCTAGTTGATTACAATTAACTCTTCAACAACTAGTGGCTTTCCCTTCAAATGCTTGGGGAAATAATGGCCACTTGTCACCCTCCAACGTAAAAAACCGACTGTTTTATCAAGTTGACGTTCAGGAATTACAAACGGCAACTGCATAGTGTTCGATGGGTTTTGTGCACAAAATATTGGGAGCCAAGGACGATGTTCGGTACAGCCGAATGTTCGATATAGCGGTGTTCGGTATAGCAGCGTTCCACTGCACAATCTTTGCCCTTTAGTTTAGTCGTAATTTTGTCACAATAAGTGCAATATTCTTTTGGTAGATTTTCCAGCTCCAGGGTTGAAAACAGAAGGGAAAAATCCCTACATCGCATCAAATTTATATTCATGATTTTCTTATACACACTGAACTAGAGTATGGCAACAACTTTCTATGCTGCTAAGATTGCTGCCATGGGGGCCATCTTTACTAAAATTTGGCTAGTGGACCAGTGAGGTTGAACCCTGTTTTGACTTTCTTTCTTTGATTTCTTGTAAACTACATGTAGTTTTCTCTAATTAACCCCTTCATGGCAACCTATCTGGCTGCTGGGTTTATTTTTCCAATTTTGCTAACGGCAACCACAGATTGGCCACCAGGCCTATCTGCCAAGTTTGCTGGGTCACACACTGCACACAGCCTGGCTCTGTGTAGTCATGAACCCTGCTGGGGTATTTGGATCCCGTTCAACAAAATACAAAGTACCCAGCACTTGCCTTGCCCACGCGACAACACCAACTACCCAAGGACGCTTGGTCACAACGGAGAGTGCAGCACCCACTAAGTTCACACGGTCTATGCTTGCTTTTAGTGGGCACCGTGGCTCGTGTGCCTGCTTCCCAGTAGTCCATGCATGCCCAGCATCAATGCCCAGCCCCAACTTGTACATTGAGTGCACTTCACAAGTTTATATTTCAGCTACTACCCAGTGAAGATTTCCCGTAATATTACCCTAATATTTTTATTTATAGGCAAAGTTTGCTCATAATTTTCTTGCACATTTCTAAGTTGTTTTTTTGCAAGTTCTGTTCAAGCCCCTTTCCGTATGTAATGATATATATAAACAGCCCCTTCTAAGTAAAGTTTGAACCATCACATGAAAACTATCTTTCCAAACTAATCCTCCCCATAATTATAGAAGAAACAGACACAAGAAAAACACAAGACAAATTTTTCTCACTTTTCTTCTTTTCTTGACGACTTGTCATTTCTTTTTTTTCTCTCTTCTCATATTTACAATCACTTTATCTTTCTTCAAAACTTAGCCAAAAAAAGAAAACAAAACAGAGTAGTTGCATTACATGATGTCTTGACACAGGAGAAAATTCTTGTACAAAATTGGACATGAATAAGTAATTGATTTAAGTATAATAAACCTTGAAGGATTTGTCTCAAAATTTGTGTACTATTTCTTGGAATACAGGAAACTTTACATAAATAAGCAATTGATTCAAGTGTGAAAAACTTTGAAACAAGGAGCAGTGCAAAGTGGAACTTGGCTAATTTCACAGGTCAATTTAGTCACTTTTCTTTTACCATTTCTAGAACAAAAATCATAAAATTTCGTGTACTATTTCATTTATGATGTCTTTGAATACAGGAAACTTTGCACAAATAAGTAGTTATTCAAGTGTGATATTCCTTGAAACAAGGAACAGCGCAAAGTGGCACTTCACAAATTTCACACATCACTTTAGTCTCTTTTCTTTTACCATTTCTAGAGCAAACATCACACCGTCTGTATAATGTAGTTTGTTTTCCAGTTGGGGGAATTTCTACAGCAAAATGTCTTCCTATCAGTCTACCTGGACCAGGAAGACGGGTTGGTCTACCTCTAGATCAATACAATGGCAAATTTTGTGCATGCAACTCTCAAATTTCACTCACCAACATGTGTCTAAATGTCAAAAAACTGTCAGTGCCACCAATTTTCTTATGCACAAGATAAGAGTTTATAAGAGCAACATCAAGCAAAAAAAGAACAGTTTCTTATACCATTTGATTGATTATCTGACTGAACGGTGCGACGATGCCAGCTGGTCTGCAATGTCCACACCCTTCACCCCCTCGTTGTCGTCGAGTACACACTTCGGTTTCTCCAAAGAGATGCTGTCACGGTTCAGCTTGCTGGTTTCGGCCATCTCAGCTGTGTGCATCGTGGACAGCATACGGACATCTTTTTTGTCTTGCTAGACCAAGGCGAGCAAGCCTTTGTCGCTGGAGCGGTGAACAACATCACCTCTCCCAAGTGTCAAGGAGCACAAGTCCTTGGGCATGTCTTGACGATTGCTTCTTACCTTCCCGACGACGTTCGTCTTCTGGTCATGTAGTTTCAGGTACAGTTCAAGGCTGCTGAACCAGTTGTCCAGGGAAATGGTGTACCCTTTGCCAAGAAGATCGGTGTTTAAGTCAAGTACAACTTTTGTACTTGCCAGTCCAGCAGTCTGGTCTTGACCGGTGTAAATCTTGAAGTTCCAGGTGTATCCAGCGGCAACACCCGTGCTCTAGCTCGATACACCCTGATGCCAAACCTCGCATGCTTGTTGGGGTTGTACTGCTTGAACTTCAGTCTCCCTTTGAATTTCCAAATGGACTCGTCGGTAGTAATCTTGCTGGACGGAATGTAG